CTAAACAGGGGGCCAAATTTTTACTATTTTCTTTATCCCATAAAATAATCCCCAATTACTCTCTCTCTCTCTCTCTCTCTCTCTCTCTCTCTCTCTCTCTCTCTCTCTATAAATTGCCCCAACCCCTTTGACCATCGTACCATTGTAAGTTTGTAACAGAACACCACCGCCCTCTGCCTCTCTCAGGCTGCCCTGCTTGCCTTTTTTGAAATTATAAAGCAGAGACCTTTCTCTTTCACCCCCTTCTCCTTTTTCTCTGCAGAAATATTTGGGGTCAGCTTTAATGGTTACGTACACCTTTAACCGTCTTCATTTGCGCGCATAAACGCCGAGGTATTGGTGTTTAAGTTGGAGTTATCTCCTTTAGCCCCCTTATTTGCGCCTTTTTTTTCCCCCACTTTCCTTCATCTCTCTCTCAAATCTCGATAATAATTTTGATCTGAAGGCTGAGATTGTCTCGTCGACCGATTTCTTTAGCTGGGGGACCTTTTGTCAGTGCTATCTATCTCTAGGTGAGTAAGCAAAAATGAAAAACACATTTGTTGCATTTTGCCCCCTTTTAATTTTCTCTTCTTTTTTTTCTTGTTTTTGTATTTTTTTTTTTATTTTTCGTCTCTTTTTTATGTAATTAACTGGCTACAGCAACAATCTTTTACATTTCGTATGTGTGAATTTGTGTGTTTAGTATTATTATAGGTTACTCTTGTGAAAGACTTAACTCTGTGTGTGTGTGTGTGTGTGTGTGTTTTTTTTTTTTTGGGCCATATTATGATTCTTTATCATGCACTGGACGTAATTTTGTAGGCCTTTTGGGTTCTGGGTCATCGTTGTTTTTTTGTAATTTCTTGACTTTCTAAGTGGACATAATTTGTGCTTGATGATTTGAAGGTCTGTTGGTGTTTGTTGTTTGTTGTTTGTTTTTCATTTCGTGCTGCAATGGCTACTCCGGATCGTTTCTGGGTTTCTTTTTTTTTTTTTTATATCAGTTTTGATCTTGGCACATTCAATTTTACCGTTTTGTATTTGACCCTGTTGGTGAAAAGTTAGTTAATTCTGCACAGAGTTGGTGCCCGTTTTCACTTTTTACTGTTCATGGATTAGATAAGTCTGATTAGGGTTTATAAAGATGCGAGCTTGATTGATGGGTTATATTTTATTTAATTTATTAGGTTCAGGTGAAGATCTAGATGTTCAAATAGTTAATATATCTCGTGTCTTTATAATTTAAATTTTGCATTTTTTGTTGACTACACTGAGTTTCCCTTAGACATTTTTGCTTGGTGTTTGCATCTTTTTGTTGGTGGTCTTACTAGGATGACTTGGATGCAGCTTTAGTTGTTTTTGACTTCGGGTTTGCCACGGCTTATTATTGAGATACAAGGTCAAATGGTTATTTAGAATGAGTCATTTTACATTAAGGATTTCAAGTGTTAGTGTGATTCTTGAACTACAGTTTGTGAATACGACGAAGTATTAACCTTTTCAGTGAGGAATAGTTGCCTGTCCTCTTTGAAGGGCATTGATTTATTGTTTGGGTCACGTTACTAGATTTTGCTAGTTTTGATGCATTGTTTACTGATTTGTTCTTCTGTATAAAGAGTCAGTTATACTGTGATCATGTTGAGGTTATAATTCTATGCATCTTTTATGGTAACTCTTTTAGCCTAGTTTTGATGCATTGTTTACTAATTCTATACATCTTTTATGGTAACTCTTCGGTATAAAGAGTCAGTATATAACTCTTTTGCTGCAAGAGAACCTGAATAACTGATAATACTAGGCTATGGAAGTCAATGGTCACAGGCGAGGCAGACAGAAGGATCTTGTTGCCTATCAAAATGGTGAGTTGAGCACGTCAAGTAGTGAAGATGACCTTGATCCCTGGACTGCCTGGGCTTACAAGCCTCGCACCATAACGTTTTTACTTATCGGTGCATGCTTTCTTGTGTAAGTTAGTTAAACTTCGGTCCATTGACATTTCTCTATTGCAAGTTCTCCAATTTGAGTTATTAATTGATTATTAATCTGCTCCTATTTATTTTTCCACTTATTTTCATTTAGATTGACTGTGACATGAAATCGAAGTTGGTCCCGTCATTTCTACAGCCATTAATCTTCCAGTATTCTTTATGATATAAGTGAAATGAATGATTAAGAGCTTGTTTAGAAACACTTCTCAAATGGACTTATGGATGTAAAGATCCATTAGATAAATATTTATGTTTGGTGCTAAATTAAGAGTGGACTTATGGATAAGTTGTTTCTCCAAAAAGTCCATTCTATAGAAGTAAAGGATGATGACTTTTGGAGAAGTCCTTGCATATATCCATTTAAGAAATCGACTTTTTCAAAAGTGCTCCCAAATAAAAGCACTAAGTATCTGTTATGTTGAGTAAATTCTGAAGAGTTTCGGCACATTTTGATATTATATGTCTGGAATTTCTGTTTAGATGGGCAAGTGGAGCACTTGATCCCGAACGTAGTTCAGAAACTGATCTTGTCACTACTGTGAAAAGGTGCGCACAAAGTCTTATGTGATTGGTTATTTGTCTTGCTGTTCTTTCTATCAATTGTTTACTGGCTTCTAAAAGCTTGAATAGGATGTTGAATTTTATACTTTTGGCAGGGGTTTATGGGCTATGATTGCTGTGTTCCTTGCCTACTGCTTGTTTCAAGCGCCTTCTCCGTAAGTGTCCTTGCCCCATTTTCGGGAATTTGTCTTCTTATTAAATGCCCTTTTCCTTGTCTTGAGAAAGTATTTTTGCTACCTTAGTTGAAGGAAGTGTCAGGATTAGTTAACCAGAAGTCGTAAATAATTATTTAAGCAAATATATTTCTACTTTCTCTCCATGCATCTGTTGTTCGGATATAGCTGCACAAAAGGACTTCTGCACATGTTCAACTTTTCTATCATTTCATGACCATTGAAATTAGGATCTGAAGCGCGGATAGTTTTAGCGGCTTGATTCTGAAACTCGTCCGTGCGTACCTTTCAATTTGAATATGGGGCAGTTGCAGGTTCTTTTACTTGGTAAATGTGCCCATTTAACTGGTGTTTTTGAAAAAGCCTAAAGACCTGTTTGATAGTTGAATCATTGAAACCATCTTTGAATGGTGCTGTGAAATGATTTAAATTTGAGGGAGCTAGTGACTTTGGGGTGGTTGGTTTGTTTCAGAAAAGGTTTAATGGGCATCAGCAGTCTTTAGAAGTTATGGTCGGTGTTTTCATTGTTAAGGGACATGCGATTATCTATAATGCACCAATATTTTGTGTTGAATTTTTATTTAATCAATGTTACTTTTGTATTTTTAGAATTTTTATTTGTCTAATTTGTACCGTCCCACGTTTTTCTCAGTGTTCTGATCCGGCCACATCCTGCAATTTGGCGCCTTGTTCATGGAATGGCTGTCATTTATCTTGTCGCACTAACGTTTCTCCTTTTCCAGGTTAGTTATTTAGCAGATGTGAGCTTTAATAGGAAATCCATAATATTTCTTATTTCATCTTGTATTTATTGCTTATCTAACTGAAAGTTTCTTTCTTTTGCAGTCAATTATTAATTTTATGGGAACTGTCTATGACATGATATTGCATTTTAATTATTTGCAAAACAATTATAATGAAATAAGTTCTTATAAATTTGGCGTACTGAAGTGTGTGAGAAGCAAAAATGGAATACTGAACACTTGTTGAAGTTCTCATTTTTTAGGCATTGACACATTATCTTTATATGCATTCTGAAGTTACACTAGGATTACATCTCGTCTTTTCAACTATCTTCAAAATCTGGTTTTCCTAAATCGTACCTGAACACACAATCTGATTCGTATGAACTTGTCTGTAGTCCACTTGGTACTGTAATGCATTCAACCTTAGTTTTTTCCTACGAGACTCTATTTCTTCTGCTTCATGCTTTCATATATAGCTTCTGGATTTGTGGATTTTTATTCAGTGTTTTTCTGTTGCACCTATTTTTTGCTTTTTTCCAGAAGCGTGACGATGCACGGCAGTTCATGAGGTTCCTGCATCCTGATCTTGGTGTTGGTAAGGCGTTTCTACTTATTCCCCAAATAATGTATTTAGTATCTTTTTCAAAGACAATGCATTTGCATGTTAATTATCCTTTTT